TTTCTAGGAAGAAGGCAAAGATCATGATGGGAAATGTAGAATACGGACAAGGCTCCAATCCACTTCTCAGTTTTCCAGCAATTTCATTCTTCCTATTCTAATTGGTGTCCTCCACTTCTTATCATGTTTATATATTCAAAACTACCACCATTTTATTTTATAATTTGAGTTTAAAACATGTTTATTTCTTAACTTTCTATATCTTTAAATTATCTGTCATTAAATGAGATGGGCATGTTTGAGGCAGCTTCGTTTTATATACAATTTTTTCCTTATAATCAATGGCATGCTTTTTTGAGATGGTCTTTGCAGTGGGTGGAGTTTTAGCCTTGCCTTTGGAGGTTCGTTTAGTATTTTGGGGGAGGGTCATTAATACTCTTGTATTATCAAACTCATTTTTTTCAAAGTCTACTTTTTTAGATAGACAATATTTTCCCCCTTACTAACATGATGTCAATTCTGCTTAATTATCTGTTAAACTCATTGCTACTTTCTTCCAGTTTAATTTATTGAGCTCTTCTACTTATTTTGAAGATTTATTTGGGCATGGATCATACTCATTTTCTTCCATTCTTAGCACTTGTCATGAGGCTGTACTGAAATATTTTAGGTAGGAAAATTAGCACTTGTGCTTTCAGTTTAAGAAATTCTTCGCATAAATGGTGAAGTGCAGTATTGTTGCCTGTGCTTAGCAAGATGTGTGGTCTTTAAAATGACATTAATAATTTAAGCATAGGAAGAATGAAATATCAGTAAAGGTACTTCCACTTGAGTACCTCATTGTTGATTACTCAGAATTTAACACAGTATACTCCAGATACATTTAACACAAAGTATATTTTGTTTTGGGTTAGGGTTGTAGCTTTAGTGGTAGAACACTTGTCTAACAGGCACAAAACCCTGGGTTCAATTATCAACACTGCAAGAAAAAAAAAATTGTGGTTTCAGCACCATCACCAAGTGAGTTGTTTTATTTAAAGAAATCCCAGAGAATTTGTAATTAAACCTGTAAGGATCTCTATTAAATAGTATGGAAGGTTAATTACAAATTTGTTCTTTTGGACTTCAATTACAAATGAGATACTCTTTGATTCTGCTGTGTGAATACATATTTGCATTTGGAAGGAGAGTCAAGTTATGGACAGGGTAAAGTCCAAATAAACACTTTGAAGGTGTTAGTGGCTATTTTCTGTTTTGAAAGAGGAACTTTAGGAGGATGATTTCCATGAAGATAAACATTAGGAAAATCTTTAGAAAAGGGATTAACATCACCCATGCCTTCATATATTATGCTTGAATCTCTCCATCTGTAGATGGGGGAGAACAAGAGCAAATGTTGGTGATTATATAGTAAACCACCATGTATAAGCTATTTCTATTTGTTGGGCATGGTGTGAAGGGCTTAAAATACATCTTTTGATTTAATCCTAATTCATTTATGATAATTTGTAAAATACTGTACATAGAGCTATCCAAATTTTAAATATAAAGGAATCTGAGATATTTATCTTCTCCAGTTCCCTTCAACTAGTACATAATGGAGATAATGTTCAAATGCATATCTTTCACAATCCAGAGCCATTCTTTTTTTAATATTTTATTTTTTAGTTGTAGTTGGACAGAATACTTTTATTTTATTTTTATGTGGTGCTGAGGATCGAACCCAGGGTCTCGCTTGTGCTAGGCGAGTACTCTACCACAGAGCCACAACTCCAGACCCAGAGCCATTCTTTTATTCATCATAATGTAGAATTTTCTTCAGTAAATCTTTTCTCTTTTATCAAATAGTGCTGGTTATGAAAGTTGAGTGCAATCTGTATACAGGGAAATCCTTCTTTCTGTTTTGCTTTAAAAGTCTCTTCATGATTATATTAATCATTAACTTTGTGCAATGCTATGATTGAGGTGGATATTAGGATTTTTTTGGTGAAAGTTTTTCTTAGGAGAGTTCATGATTATCACATGTTTTAATCAATTGCCACATTGACAGAGGCATTTATATTATTTAATCAGTAAATAATTAAGAATTGTATTATAAGAACTATGGATCAATTGTTTAGAAGTGATAGAGATAAAGAAGAGTTATTTAATACATGAGAAACATCATAGGCTGCATTTTCTAATATTGCTGCAAAACACCAAAGTCAAATATCACATAGAAGAGTGTGCCGCAGTCTGGCTGGGCACACAATCACGAGCCACCACACAGCTTGTAGATTCAAACAGCAACTCTTTATTCCCGAACTCACACCAGCCGTCTACAATCACGTTCTGGGGAAATCCACGTTCTCTGCCCAAATCCACTCCCACTGGGCTTCTATCTCCCAAAAAATACTGTCTGAATCCCATGAGAACTCAAGGGGAACTCAGGCAGCAGGATACACCCTATTCCCAGCAGGAATAATCTTAAACCTGGAACGCCCTAAACCCGATTATCCTAAACCGGGAACACCCTAATCCGCCCTGGTCCTTGAGCAAGGTCACCTACATTCAATGTCACTGCAACATGGGGTACGCTGCCAAGGAAATTGTCATACCTACTTGGCTAATGGCTCCCAGCAAGAGTGACCTTGTTTGTTCTTTGTCATGAATAAGGATAGTGTTTTAGACAAGTATAAATGATAATGTAACTTCAAGGATCCTGAACATGGTCAAAGGATTCAGAAGTGTTTACAATGTTTCATACTTCCTTAACAGCTTTAAAGGCATTGGTTTTCCATTAAAATCTTTAAATGTATGTAGGTCTTTCTCAGTTCAGCCTTCTTCAGTCTTATTGTTGGCTGAGAGATTTGTGCCAACTAAACAAAGGATTTGAAATTGTGTTTACTAAATAAGTCATGCTAGAGCAGAGTCAGCCTCATTCACTAGATCCTACAGTGGTTGGATATTGAATTTTAATGTGATTTTAAAGAGCTTCCTGAGGTTCTGTGAATAGCAACAAAATTAATTTCTGTATTTTATGTTTTCAAGAAATATAGCACTAATATAACATAAACTATGCATTCTAACTAGGACTAGCAGGTTACACAGGTAGCATTTAAAGCTAACCAAATTAATTTTGTAAAGGTCTAGAACAAAATTCCTTAGTCCTCAGTTGATTTTGCAAAGTAAAAGTTAATTAGGATAATGATATGACCTATTGGCATTAGCCTAGAGCCAAATATTAGGCTCATCCCCCCAAATGAGTTTGAATAGAGCATTTTTTCTCTCTGGGTGATTTAGATGGTGACACCTGAAATATTATAGCCAATGAAAAAGATGGATCATTGACTCACACACCATATTGAATGTTTCAATGACTTGCCATTTGCCCAGGGCCAGTTTGTATAATCACAAAATATCATATTATTGAAAATTGACACCTAAATTAACATCTGTTTTTAATTCAAATATATATTATCATCTATCATGAGTTAAATTTCTCATATTTATATCTCTATTTAGGAAGACACCTCATTGTGCATAACATCTCAATTTCCACTTCCCATAATTTCCCCTAAATGGAAATCTGTTACTTATTTTGTTGAAAAATAAAAAAATTGACATGCTTCAAATGTCATTTTAAATACACTGTTATCTGGTCAAATGTTGTATTTGAATTAAAAGTTCACATGACTGATGTATAATAGAATATGACAGGTGTATAATAGAATTCAGTGCCATAAAATGTGTATACTTTTTAAGTTTTAAAACAGAATTTCAATTTACTTTAATAAGAGTTTAATGTTATGACAATATTGGGAAAACAGTAAATATGAAAAAAGTGAAACAAAATCACAAATTAGTAGTAGAATGTATTTTTAAAGTCAAGAATAATGAAAATATCAACAAAGAAGTATGATGACCATTTTTTCCATAAGCCATTGCAATAATTTTGGGTTGCAGATGATCCATCAAAATGAACACTGAGGAAGAAAATAGCTTGAGCCCCCAAATTTGAAGGCAGCCTGGAAGATCTTGACTCTTAAAAAAACTATATAAAATTAAGCAACTTTATGTAACAAAATATTTAAGCTAGAATTTTTATTCTGAGTCACTTTCTACTCTAAACTTACATTGCGTCATCTTTTTTCTCCTAAATGGTTATGAGAAGACAAAGAAAACATAACCAAATAACAGTGTCAGGCAATGAAAACTCACATCAACAATTCTGATTTTCTGTAGTATATACACACAATGGAATATTACTTAGCATAAAGAAAAATGAAATTATGGCATTTGCCAGTAAATGGATGGAACTAGAGACTATCATGTTAAGTGAAATAAGCCAATCCCCTAAAACCAAAGGCTGAATGTTCTCTCTGATATAGGAACGCTAACACACAACAAGCAGGGGAGGGAAGAATAATAGTTCATTGGATTAGACAAAGGGGAATAAAGGGAATGGAGAGTGGATGGGAATAGGAAAGTATATTCCAGATACATTTAATACAAATGAATGAATCAGACATAACTTTCCTATGTTCATATATATGAATACACAACAGTAAAACTCCACATCATGTACAATCACAAGAATGGGATCCTAATTAGAATAAGTTTTACTCCATATATGTATGTCAAAATACACTCTACTGTCATGTATATCTAAAGAGAAAAAAATCCCATTTCACTTAGTATTCTATGAAATTCCATTTCCAAACTCTAAGCACATCTTCAGACACTCAGAGGAGATATATTAGAAATCACTTTGCTTGTTCTGGATGAATTTATTATTGAAATTCCCAAATTCTTCAATAACAAGCCATTTTAGTTAGTGTATTTTGATTGGATTGAGAAAACCAATGTTGGTGACTTGGAAATAGCAAAATGGTACAGGTATTTTTTGTGGTGATTTTTAACTTCATGGAGTTATTTCATTGAAAAAAATCATTTTACAGTTGAAATGATTATTTCTATTATATTATTCCTCCATTACTTAATGTTCCATTTGGATGTCTCATAGTATTAACAATGTAACTTATGTGAGAAATCATCTATGTAAAATTCATAATTCATCTAGGCCAAGGGACTTTTCCTTTGTAAATTCTGTATTTTAAATTAACAAACTTGAAAATACATTATTTATTTTTCTGATTATTTTCCTATTGTTCTGCAATGGCTATAAAGTCACTTGTAACAAGAAGACAGTTAAATGTAAATAATTAAGAATCAGAACTGAGGGAAAAAAGATATCATATAGTTAACAATAGTGCTTTAATATTTCAGTATAGCCAGAAGAGATGATTTTGAATGTTTCATCACAATGAAATGATGTATGTTTAAGGTGGTAGATATGCTAATTACCCTGGATTGATTATTACACAATATATACACAAATGAAAACATTCAATTGTACCCCATAAATTTGTACAAGTATTACATGTCAATTTTAAAAATTAAAAGAGACATGAGAAGGCATATTCATATAGATAAAAGCATAGTATGCAGAACATAAAGTCTGAAGAGTTGTTATTACTAAGATTTAAAGTTTTTCTTCGAGGGTGAGGCATGTAGCTTAGTGGTAGAGGGCTTGCCTAGCATACAAATGGCCCTAACTTCTGCAAAAACAAAAAACAAGCTCCAGTGTCACAATTATTTTTGAGTTTTCTAGCAGACCCAGTTACAAGGGAAGTTGGAAGTAAAATAATTCAATTTTGATAATATGTATTTTAGATTTGATAATATTTTTGTATGAGGGATAAGACTTTAGGTAAACATTAACTCTTTTTCCAACAGGTTTTTTAAATAAGTGAACTCTCTTTTTCTCTAAGTACTTAGATAAGTGAAATAATAATTTTATAATTCTAATTGAGCCATAGAAAGAATTTAAAATTGATGTTATTCAAGAAACAAAGTGCCATTTCCACATATATTTGATTTCAATACAACTTAAAATCTGAACGTTCCATAAAAATCACTTTGGAATTGTTTAGGAAAAAGTAAGGTAAAACATGAAAATTCTGGGGTGATGGATGCAGTGCACAGTACTCACAATTTCAGGCACAAGGTGTCGCTCTTTGCTTGAAAGAAAGAGTCCTCTCATGGATTGGTCTGGTCAGGCATTCCTCCTAAAAAACGACTCCATCATGTTGGATGCTACTATGAAAGGATCCTTCGAAACTTCTCAAAAACTCAGCGAGATTTTAAACCTGAATTGAAGTATTTGGTACAGTAAGTGTAAGAAAATCTTATTTTGGAAGCCAACTTCGTATGCAATGTTAGGTTTTCAGCGAAGGAGTTTGGGTACTCTGCGACTACTGATCTCGCTTCTGCTTCTGGCAGCCTGGGAGGCAGGGAGTGGCCAGCTCCACTATTCCATCCCGGAAGAGGCTAAACATGGCACCTTTGTGGGCCGCATCGCTCAGGACCTAGGGTTGGAACTGGAAGAGCTGGTGCCCCGTTTGTTCCGGGTGGAGTCCAAGGGCCGCGGGGACCTTCTGGAGGTAAATCTGCAGAATGGCATTTTGTTTGTGAATTCTCGGATCGACCGGGAGGAGCTGTGCGGGCGGAGCGCGGAGTGTAGCATCCACCTGGAGGTGATCGTGGACAGACCGCTGCAGGTTTTCCATGTGGAGGTGGAGGTGAAAGATATTAATGACAACCCGCCAACGTTCTCTCTCAGAGAACAAAGCCTGCTGATTTCTGAATCTAAGCAGCCAGACTCGCGATTTCCGCTAGAGGGAGCTTCTGATGCGGATATAGGCGAGAATGCTCTATTGACCTACAGACTAAGTCAAAATGAGTATTTTACTTTAGAATCACCAACGAATAGTAAGCCGACTAAAAGACTATCGCTTATATTAAAGAAGTCACTGGACAGAGAGAAAACTCGGAAGCTTAATTTGCTACTGACTGCCACAGATGGAGGGAAACCAGAACTCACAGGCACCCTTCAGCTCTTGGTCTCTATCTTGGATGTTAACGACAATGATCCGGAGTTTGATCAATTAGAATACAAGGTGAGAATGATGGAAAACATTGCTAAAGAAACTCTTGTGATAAAGTTAAACGCCACCGATCGAGATGAAGGAGTAAACGGGGAAGTAACATACTTCTTAATGTCAATTAAGCCCAATGGAAAACTCTTATTTACACTAGATGAAAATAATGGAGAAGTGAGGGTCAATGGAACTTTAGATTATGAAGAAAATAAGTTTTATGAAATTGAAGTGCAGGCCACAGATAAGGGTAATCCCCAGATGGCAGGTCACTGTACAGTCTGGGTAGAAATTGTAGACACCAATGATAACGCTCCTGAAATTACTGTGACTTCTCTGTCCCTCCCAGTACGTGAGGACACTCGGCCAACCACAGTCATTGCGTTGATAAGCGTATCCGACGGCGACTCCGGTGTCAACGGCCAGGTGACCTGCTCTCTGACGCCGGATGTTCCCTTCAAGATTGTGTCCACTTTCAAAAACTATTATTCACTGGTGTTGGACAGTGATCTGGACCGAGAAAAAGTGTCAGCATATAATTTGGTCGTGACTGCACGAGACGGGGGCTCGCCTTCGCTGTGGACCACAGCCATTGTGTCGGTGGAAGTGGCCGACGTGAACGACAATGCACCTGCGTTCCCACAGTCTGAATACACCATATTCGTGAAGGAGAACAATCTGCCAGGCTCCCACATCTTCACGGTATCCGCTCGAGACGCGGACACGCAAGAAAATGCGCTGGTATCCTACTCTCTAGTAGAGCGGCGGGTGGGCGAGCGTGCGCTGTCGAGCTACGTGTCGGTGCACGCTGAGAGTGGCAAGGTATATGCACTGCAGCCCTTGGACCACGAAGAGCTTGAATTGCTGCAGTTCCAAGTGAGCGCGCGCGACGCTGGTGTGCCGCCACTCGGTAGCAATGTGACTCTGCAAGTGTTCGTGCTGGACGAGAACGACAACACGCCTGCGCTGCTGCCTACTCCTGTAGGTGGCACCGTGAACGTGAACGAGCTGGTATCAAGGTCAGTGGGCGCCGGCCACGTGGTTGGTAAGGTGCGTGCAGTGGATGCAGACTCCGGATACAATGCGTGGCTCTCCTACGAGCTATTGCCAGCTGCAGGTGGCGCTCGCAGTCCATTTCGCGTGGGGCTATACACCGGTGAGATCAGCACCACGCGTGCCCTGGACGAGACAGATGCGCCACGTCAGCGCCTGTTGGTTCTGGTGAAGGACCACGGTGAACCGGTTTTGATGGCCACCGCCACAGTGCTGGTATCTCTGGTGGAGAGCGGTCAGGCGCCAAAGGCCGCCTCACCGATGTTTGCCAGCTCTGCTGGCCAGGCAGAGTCGCTGGTGGATGTCAACGTGTATCTGATCATAGCCATCTGCGCGGTGTCCAGCCTGTTGGTGCTCACGCTGCTACTGTACACAGCGCTGCGGTGCTCGGCTGGGCCCACCGAGAGTGCGTGTGGACCTGGGAAGCCCACGCTGGTGTGCTCCAGCGCGGTGGGGAGCTGGTCATACTCGAAACAGAGGAGGCAGAGGGTGTGTTCTGGCGAGGACCCGCCCAAGACCGACCTAATGGCCTTCAGCCCCAGTCTTCCACCAGGACTAGACAGAGAAGATGAAAAAGGAAGGCAGGAGGCAGGATCAAATAACCCAATACACGTGAGTTTTCTAAAAATTCCACCTATTCAGAATGTTTATGTTACATTATTTGGAACATTTGTTCACAGAAATTTTTAAAATGAGAACTCTGTATTTTGAATATTGTTTTAAAGAACAATGTCTGTTAATTATATATGTCAGATGATACATATATCCATTCTTTTAATAATGAAAAATCAGGTTTCTTCTTTTTAATGAATGTGCTCTTTCTTCTAATGTTTGATTAGAATACATTGAAAAAAGTTTTGAAGAATGCCCCTACTGTTGTTACTTGAGTACAAATAGTCACATTTTTTTTGTGGATTCTTTAAATTTACCAACCTTTTTCTTTTAACAGCATTTGCCTTGATATTTTCACATTATTGAATTAATTGGTTAAAAAAACCCTCGTGTCAGTGATTGAACCCTCTTCATTAGGTCTGAAATGATTTCCTTTTCTATAGAGCTTAATATCCATCTTAAATGTATAATCCTTCAAATAAAATTTAATTTTGCATCTACTTCTGTGGCAAAACCTATTTTTATATTATTTGAAGGAAAAAATCCAGCCTTGCATTGTAATATGCTGGAAATAACATCCTACAATGGAAATAATAAAATTGTCCATTCTTAATTTTTTTCTGTGAGCTGGCAATAGATTTATCTAGCACATATTCAAGCAAAACTCCCTGATTCATGTTTCTAAAGTAAACTAGGCAAGTAAAATTATTAAAATTATTCAAGCAAATCATACAAACTTGCTAAGGGCATATATGTTTATGATATCTGCAATATGTGCTTATGGGCATTGTTTCCTACATTTTTTGAATTTATCTAGAATTTAACTCCATTAAAGTGAACAAAACTGATAATTATCATTGTATGCATTTCACTTTTATTCCTTTTGTGGTACTGGGGATTGAACTCAGGGTTGCTCTATCTATCACTAAGCTATTTCCCTAGACCTACTTATTTATTTAAATATAGATAGGATCTTTCTAAGTTGCCAGAGCTGTACTCAGACTTGGAATTCTCCTGCCTCTGTCTCATGGATAACTGAGATTATAAGAATTTACCACTGTGCCTGACTATTTCACATTTTAACTGCTCTGTCTTTAAATGTCTTATCTCAGTATAATCATGTAAGAGTCTAGCAAAGATCATTTACCACTAGGAATTTCTTCTATTTCTGTATGGGTTTTTTTGTTATGAATATGGTTGTAGAATTCTTTGAAAATCAGACATGGCTGTTTTAATGTTACACATCATGTCATTTGGCATAATATTCTAAAGGAGTCCATTCTTGGAACTTGGATCAGGAACTCCTATATTTGTTTGTTTATTTCTTCTTCTTCAAAACTTTTGTATTTTAATATTAATTGGCTAGTAACATTAAAAGTAGGTAAAAGATATTTGAAATTGTATAAATATAATAAATATGAATATTAAGGCATACATTATTGCCATTTCCAAATGAAGTTATTTGATTAAGTTCATCTAAATTTACTTTTAAAAAGACATTGGAGAATTTTAGATTACAGTTTAAATTTTTGTAAACCATTACTTTTGCATCACATAAATAGCTGGTGCACATTTAGATAATTTCAAATTACCAGAAATAATTTTTATAGATTCAGAGTCATTCATATTTATTCTTACTGTCAGAGCTACATTCTTGGGTAAAATTATAATTTCACCTTATTTTTTAGTTCAGGTAATACTAGGATAACAGATTTTATTACCTGCTTAATAATTTAATTATGTACAACAATGTATGAGAACTACATGACAGTATTTTTTTTTTCCTGACAGTACCTTAGCAATCCAGGTACATTAAGATTTTTGAAATTGAAAATAGGAAATGAAACTTGGTGGTGATGTTTAGCAATTTAAATAATTAGTTTGATTATATCAAAATTAAAGTGGTTTTCTTAAGTAAGAGCCAGTTTTATAGTTATTTTATACTCAGAGGTTATTTTTTTCTGGTTATATAAAGGCCTCACACCTCACTTACCTTTATTGTTGTATGTAAGAGGAGTGGCAACAAATTATGGGCTTGAAGATTTGAGTTTGAATATTAATGAAGCTTTAAAATCTATGTTTATTTTTCTTATCTATTTTGTTTTCATGATTATCTTGACTTATTAAAAATTATGAAAGCTCTTTTGGTTCACCTTGAACCATAGTCATCATTTTGATTTTCTGAAGAGACTTATATTTTGAGTAATTACTAACTGATCTGTAGGGAAAGATTTATCGAGAAACCAACATGTTTGTTTCATGTTCACATTCTTTTGCCTTTGGTTGGTGAGATTAAGTGCCTTAAAACACTTCATGAGATCATTTGCATATTGGTCTGCCATTGTTAGCTTAGAATATTGTGAAATTTGACAGCTTGACTCATACATTTTCATGGCAATGCTTTATTTCTTCCAAAATAAAGCTTTCTAGAACTTGTGCTTTGCGTTGCTTTAACATGCTATGGGAATAAGAGCAGGTGTATGAAAAACCATCACATATAAACATCAATGAACCCCAAACAATAACATCGTTCATATTTATGATGAATTACAATATTCAATAGAGTTGTACAATTTATATATGTGAAATGTTTAGCTCATATAAATATTTATGTTTCATTTTCTTTACTAGATAATGGCATTCTTAACATCTTCCTAACATCTTACAATAAAGTATTTGGGAAGCACTTTATCATGAAAACAGTGTGAATTGTAAGCATTGTAAGGTTAGGAGTGATTATTCCCCATAATAGTTAAAGGGTAACTTCTTTTATGCCTTATTTTCAAAGGTTTTTTAAAATTTTATTTATTCTAATTTGTTATAGATGACAGCAGAATGCAATTCAATTCATATCACACAAATAGAGCACAAATTTTCATGTCTCTGGTTGTACACAAAGTAGAGTCACTCCATTAGTGTTTTCATATGTGTATTTAGGGTAATGATGTCTGTCTCATTCCACCATCTTTTCTACCCCCATGCCTCCTCTCTTCCCCTCTCTCCCCTTTGCCTTATCTAAAGTTCTTCTATTCTTCCCACGCTGCCCCCCATCCCCATTATGAATTAGCATCCTTATATCAGAGAAAACATTTGGCACTTTGTTTTTTGGGGGATTGGCTAACTTCACTTAGCATTATATTCTTCAACTCTATCCATTTATCTGCAAATGCCATGAGTTTATTCTCTTTTAATGCTGAGTAATATTCCATTGAGTATATATATATATATATATATATATATATATATATATATATATATATATCAAAGGTTATTTTAATGATAAACTTTGAAGCAGAAAATGTTTTCAAACTACAACATAGGCATTTTTGTTTCGTTGCTAATAACATATAGGTTAACTAAATAGGATCATTCACAAATGATCCATGAAATGATCCAAAATAGAATTTAGAGAGACCAAGAAATGGCTAACCCCAAAGAACTTCTCTTCTTTTTCTTGTATTTACATAATCAGTCACATATGTCGCTATACACTCAAAAGGTGAAGAAGGAAAATTCTGTCTGTGCACATAGTTACCAACCATTCACATATAGGGTCAACTCCATATTGACTGGAACGCAGGTCAGGAATTATTAAATAGGTACATAAAGGGTCATAAAAATCTCATGTATGCTCTCCTTTAAAACGGCCTTCACTGTCTGCAATGGTGTTTATAGAGTGGAGGACTGATTCCTGTAATTGCTGCTCTCGCTTTTACTCCTGGCAGCCAGGGAAGGGGGAACCGGTCAGCTTCACTACTCAGTCGCGGAGGAGGCCAAGCACCGCACCTTCGTGGGCGGCATCACGCAGGACCTGGGGCTGGAAATAACAGAATTGGTGCCACGCCTGTTCCGGGTGGGGTCCAAGGATAGCAGGGACCTTCTAAAGGTAAATCTGCAGAATGGCATTTTGTTTGTGAATTCTCGGATCCACCGGGAGGAACTGTGCAGGGGGAGTGCAGAGTGTAGCATCCACCCGGAGGTGATCGTGGACAGACCGCTGCAGGTTTTCCATGTGGAGGTGGAGGTGAAGGACAGTAATGACAACCCTCCAGTGCTCAGAGAAAAACAGCATAAGGTCTGAACCTGCACCTCTGGACACAGTTTCTTCTAGAAGGCTCTTCTGATGCAGATTTTGGCATAAACTCTCTCCTAACTTATACATTAAGTTTAAAGGAGCATTTTGCACTTCAAACAACAACAGCAACAACAAAGATAAAAGCACATTGCCTGAGTTAATTCTTCCGAAGTTATTGTACAGAGAGGAAACCCCCGAACTTAATTTATTGCTGATGGTCATTGATGGTGGTAAACCGGAGCTAACAGGATTGTTCAGATTGGAATAACCATCCTGAATGTGATGCCAACGCTCCAGAGTTTGATAAGCCTGGTTATAAAGCAGTATTGTTTGAAAATGTCAGAAACAACACTAGAATAATTCAACTAAATGCTTTGGATCTGGACGAAGGCCTGAATGGGGAAATTTCCTGTGAAATCAGAATGATTTTGCCAGTGAGTGAGAACTGCAAGTTTTCAATTAATCCAGGTACAGGTGAAATTAGAATCCACAGGGAACTAGATTTTGAAGAGAATAATGCTTATGAAATTCAGGTTAACGCCATTGAAAAGGGATTCCTTCCATGGTAGGTCACAGCTTGGTCCTGGTGGAGGTTCTGTACCTGAATGACAATATTCCTGAGAAAATGGTTACTTCACTATCACTCCCTGTGAGAGAGGATGCCCAAGTGGGGGATTAGCGGGTCTGACCTTGACTCTGGGGCCAACAGACAGGTCACCTGCTCCTTGTCATCCTACATACCCTTCAAGCTGGTGTCTACATTCGAAAATTACTATTCCCTGGTTCTGGACAGTGCCTTGGACCATATCTGCCTATAAAGTCGTGGTTACTGCAAGGGATGAGAGCTCGCCTTCAATGTGGGTTACCACCAGGGTGTTGGTGAAGGTGGCGGACATGAACGACAATGCACCGACTTTTGCGCAAC